ATAGGTACATTTTTTTATTTATTGTTATTTTCTGGCTGTAGCTGTGTTCCTTCTTGCTGCGGGAAAACATGATGGCCGCCGATCAGAAAATGAGGTGTGTTCGACTTGAAGCAGCATCTTATCTCACAATTCTGATAAAAAAAAATCAACTCATTCTTTTTTCCCCCTCGGCTCAGAATCACTTCTGGGGTTTTTTCCCTCAGAATTGACAAACTCATAATTGTTGAGTTAAATCGAGTTATAAAGTCTGAACTAGGAGATATAAACTTGCATTTGAGAGAAGAAAAAAGTCAGAATTGTGAGATAAAATAGGTAAATGTTATAGGTTTAATTAGTAGTCTATTTCATGATGTAACCTTAGGGCTAATACAATATGTGAACTGCATATGTGAATATTATGTAGACCAAATTAATGCTTTAAAAGTAGGGTAATCATAGCAGGTTTCATCCACAGTCTGTCCCTTTAAACGTCTGCGTTTAGCTTCAAATGGCAACTTTGACGACAGTATTCTATAAAAAATTATTTGCATTCTGATTCTTACATCTAAAAAATTTTTCTCTTATTCCATGGATTTTACCCATTTCCCTCCACTTGTTACCAGTGATTTTCTGCCACCACAACGTGCGTGCAGCTGCAAGTGACGTAACTGTGACGTCTACTCCAAATTGGTCTATAGCTCACGGTACTTTGATGCATACACCGATCGGTCTGTGCAGCGCCGCTTCTAGTCGAACACACATCTATTGTCAAACTGAACATTAATGATGTCATTGGTCACGTGGTTTTCACAGAACGCAAAATTGTCATTTGATGTAAAGCAAATACACTGAACAAAATTATAAACGCAACACTTTTGTTTACACCAACAGTTAGCTCAATGACAAGATAGAAAAGTAGGCTACATTTATTAAGTCGGATCAAGTATAAAATGTTCCTCACTGTAATGACAAGGCATATGCACTTTTTTTCAGTGTCCTCTGTCCTTTTAACTTCTTTCAGAAACAATTGTGACTTGTGGTGCTGGATACGCTTACTTGAAATGTGGTGAGCTATTTTTCTACTTCTCTTTTACTGTTTCAAGAAATCAGATGACATGGATTCATTTAAGGAATGCCATTTTTTTTTATCTCCATGTAGAAAATTGTAAGATTCAGATAAATACTGCAAACTATGGACGTACAGATAAAACCACCTGCTCTGAAGGACGTCCATCCAGTGAGCTTTTAAAAGGCATGATCACAGTACAGGCAACACACACTCGCTAAGCCTGTTTTACATTTGTTATATTTATGTTTTTGTTTTTTTAATTGCTTTACAACATTTCTATATATTTACTGTAGGCCTAGGTTCAAGTTTGATCTGTGAACATGCGACGAGTGCCCTGACCTGTGGTGTGTATTCTGTTCTTTCTGCTTATTTTTACCATTTTGGTTGATGATGCATTAGAGTTTATGACTAAATGATAAAACATTATAGTATATAATGACCTTTTTTGCATCCAAGAGACTGTAAAAAGTTGAATTGATGTTTTCAGATGAAGGGACTGTCATACGCATTCACAGCGCTAACTACGGCTGAACTGACAGCAGCACGTGCTCTACTGGACAACCTGCTTCTCAGCTTGCCAAAACTGACTGCTACACCTTAAATTCACAGACAGTAGTCACTAGTGTGTCAGTTTACACGCTCAATGTATACATTTTCACATTCAGTCTTTACCTTGCTGAAAAAACAACAGCAACCTAAACCACGCTGGGAGACCAGCTAAGACTAAACGTTTATCGAAGCGTTTTCTCCAACAGGGTAATCAAATGACTTTAATAATACCAATAAAATAATTTTTTATGAAGTTTTTGTTTCATTAATTTATATTTTATCACTGTGTAGATGTGAAGGGAAAAACAGCTGCTCCATATTGGCCTCCAACAGTGTCTTCTCGGATCCATGTGTCGGCACAATCAAGTACCTGTACATCTCATACTCCTGCGTGTCTAAGTGTGACTGTACAGAGCAATGATACTGCATATGTGTGCTAGTTTTCTAATGTGTTGATCAGTTTTGTTTTGGTTTTTACTCATGAACTCACTCATCAGTCTGGACTGATAATAGCTCATTACTGTTGATGTTTGTGTTTGCAGAGAATGACAGCTGATCTTGTGGATTTGGCCTCTTCAGTTCTCTATCAGCATCTCTTCTATTTTAAATGTGCTGAAACAAATCTATTTCTTCATTGTTAACGCATCTAATATTATATGGTATTTGCTGTCTTTCCTCTTGTAAATATATGGCCAAAAAGGTAAAGGTAGAATACTAGTATATGCTAATCTGAAATCAGTCTTTGTGTCTGGATGAAATCAGTGGCTTTGATTCTCATACGATTCATTTTTCAATAGGCCTTGCTTATACACTATGTTGTGGGATTTTCCTTACAATAAATGCTTTGCAAATGAGAATGAGGCGAGTGTGTCTTGTTCTTAAAAGCATGTTGATTGTAAACACCAGCTTTACCTTATCATCATTTACCAAGTGTTAGGATAAAGAATACAGAAAGGGTGCACATTGTTCATTTACATATTACTGACATTGTAACAAAGCAATGCTGGTTATCCCTATCCTTTTAGAAGCACAGTGAAGTCTATTATTAAGAAGTGCAAGGTATTTGGTACAACACAGTCCCTCCCTGGATCAGGATGTCGCTCCAAACTGGATGAGAGTCAGGAGGAAACTGGTCAGAGAGACCAAGAGGCCTACAGCAAATCTGAAGCAGTCGCAGGAATTTATGACAAAGAGTGGTCATTGTGTGCATGTGACAACAATATCACAAATTCTCCACAAATGTGGCTTGTATGGGAGAGTTGCAAGAAAAAAGCCATTCCTCAAGAAAGGACTCATGCAGTCACGACTGAACTTTGCCAAAACGCACCTTGAGGATTCTGAGGCAGATGAGACTAAAATATAATTTTTTGGCCAAAAACACCAAACGATATGTCTGACAGAAATCCAATACAGTTCACCATCCAAATAACAGCATTCCTCCAGTAAAGCATGGAGGTGGTAATGTCCTGGGGACTGGAGCACTTGTCAGGATAGAAGGAAAAATGGATGTGGCAAAATACCATCAAATTCTTGAGGAAAATCTGTTTCCCTCTGCCAGAAAGTTATCAATGTGAAGAAGGTTTACCTTCCAACATGACAATGACCCAAAGCACACAGCAAAACTGAGCACACAGTGGTTGAAGGAGAAAAAGGTGAATGTCCTTGCACTGCCTAGTCAGAGCCCAGACTTAAACCCCACTGAAAATCTGTGGAATGACTTGAAGACTGCAGTCCACAAACACTCACCATCACATTTAACTGAACTTGAGCAGTTCTGAAAAGAAGAGTTAGCAAATATTGCAAAGTCCAGATGTGCCAAGTTAGTAGAAACAAAATATCCCAACAGACTCAAGGCTGTAATTAAAGCAAAAGGTGGTTCAACAAAATACTGACACAAGGGGGTGATCTTTTTTTTCCAACTCACCGATTCAGTTTTTTCTCTCTCTCTGACATGTTGGTGTTATATCTTTCACTTGGATGTTATAAATTGTAAATACAGCTGGATAAAACAAAAAATGTGGCCGTCTTCATTTCAGGCTGCAAAGCAACAAAATGTGATTATTTTAAAGGTCAAGACGTGGAAGGTATTTAGTACAACACAGACCCTCCCTGGATCAGAACGACGCTCCAAACTGAATGAAAGAGCCAGGAGGAAACTGGTCAGAGATGCTACCAAGAGGCCTACAGCAACTCTGAAGCAGTTGCAGGAATTTATGACAAAGATTGGTCATTGTGTGCATGTGACAACAATATCACAAATTCTCCACAAATGTGGCTTGTATGGGAGAGTTGCAAGAAAAAAGCCATTCCTCAAGAAAGGACTCATGCAGTCACGACTGAACTTTGCCAAAACGCACCTTGAGGATTCTGAGGCAGATGAGACTAAAATATAATTTTTTGGCCAAAAACACCAAACGATATGTCTGACAGAAATCCAATACAGTTCACCATCCAAATAACAGCATTCCTCCAGTAAAGCATGGAGGTGGTAATGTCCTGGGGACTGGAGCACTTGTCAGGATAGAAGGAAAAATGGATGTGGCAAAATACCATCAAATTCTTGAGGAAAATCTGTTTCCCTCTGCCAGAAAGTTATCAATGTGAAGAAGGTTTACCTTCCAACATGACAATGACCCAAAGCACACAGCAAAACTGAGCACACAGTGGTTGAAGGAGAAAAAGGTGAATACACACACACACACACACACACACACACACACACACACACACACACACACACACACACAGTTACTCTCTGTTAGCAGCACACACAATCTTACAGTCACTCAGACACGCATAAAGGACAGGGTTTGATAATCAGTACATGTTAAATTCACAAACAAAATGACTGGACCTGCTATAATGTCAGCATGTCACCCTGTGAGCCACCCCCACCCCCCTCCCAGCCATGGGGGCTTCGCCGAGCGTCTTCCTGTGGGTGGTGATCATCACTCAGAAGGTACAGGGGAGCGAGACGGGAACTGGATGGAGGGGGGTGGGTGCTGTAGGGTGGAATGAGGTGGGAGGGTTGGTGGAAGCCATTTGTGTATTTAAGGTGGATGTGTGGGTGTTTGGAGATCAGTGCGGCTCCCCTAGTCCACAAACACTCACCATCACATTTAACTGAACTTGAGCAGTTCTGAAAAGAAGAGTTAGCAAATATTGCAAAGTCCAGATGTGCCAAGTTAGTAGAAACAAAATATCCCAACAGACTCAAGGCTGTAATTAAAGCAAAAGGTGGTTCAACAAAATACTGACACAAGGGGGTGATCTTTTTTTTCCAACTCACCGATTCAGTTTTTTCTCTCTCTCTGACATGTTGGTGTTATATCTTTCACTTGGATGTTATAAATTGTAAATACAGCTGGATAAAACAAAAAATGTGTTGTGTATTTAAGGTGGATGTGTGTAGGTGTTTGGAAATCAGTGCTGCTCCCCTAGTTCTCATTGTCGCCTGCTTCGTCACCCTGGTTTTCTGACGTCCAAAGCTGCATGTATGAGAATGAATATATTATATGAGCCAATTAAGCACTTAAACAGAAATATAACTGGTGCAGAATGTATAATGGAGGACTTACAGTGAGGTTGTCCCTTAGAAGCTGCATGATCAAGGTGCTGTCTTTGTAGGAGTCCTCATTTAAAGTGTCAAGCTCAGCAATGGCTTCATCAAAAGCCTGTAACAGAGGCACTGGTTTCTCATTTGGGCTGAGCATGAAATACACTGGTGCTTGTATTTGATTTGGCTCAAACAATGTTCATTGTAGTCAAAGAAATAAAATACAAATTCATATGATGAAGCATAAGAGGCTGTTCACATAGGACACATCCTAGTTTTTTTTGCTTTTTAACGCATTAGATGGATATCTTTGGCGACTGTACTGTCTCTCACTACATGGCAAGTTAAAAACAGTTCAACTGCTATAATGGGTCTCTGTCCAAATTTTATTAAATGCAAGAACTCGTCCTGTGTGAACGGCCCCTTATGCTGCTAGCATTTAAAGATACCAACCGTCTTAGCGAGGTGACAGGCATTCTCAGGAGAGTTGAGGATCTCGTAGTAAAAAACGGAAAAGTTGAGGGCAAGACCCAACCGTATAGGGTGTGTAGGCTGCATTTCCTTCTTACTTATCTCAAATATCTCAAAATAAGCCTTCTGAGAGTTCTCAACCGTGGCTGAAAGAACAAAAAGTTGATATTGTGTTGATTGTGTTGATTAAAAAGCCAAATATATAATTAATTTAATATATTTATGTCACCGATCGTCGGACAGATAGATAATAGTGATGCAGTGAAATTAACGTTTTACAGAAACCAAAAAGAAAGTTCTTATTTAATCAAAAACCAAAACTGAATATGAAGTTCCTTGAATTCACTTTGGGTAACTGAACTCATTATGCTGTTAAGGGTGTAAAGTTCTTCAGCAACAAGCCACTTCTCAATGTTTCAGCCGAACAAATTTTACATAGTGCTACTCTAGAATCATTTTTGGTCACACTGAAGTGTATCCAAACTGCTGACGTCTTCACCTGTTGTAGCTTTTCCACAGCATGTTAATGAAATAGATGCTAAAACAGTCAAAACGCACCTTTGGAGAAGATGATTTCAGTTCTCTAAAAGTATTACGCCGGAAACTTTTTTTTTTCTGTTTTGGCCAAATATTTTTAGTTTCCAAAATTTTGGTGTATCACTCATAGATGGATAGACAGATAGATAGATAGATAAATGACAGACAAACAGAGAGACGGATAGATAGAACAATATAATAATAGACAGAATGATAGACAAAGAACAACAGACATACGGATAGAACGACAGACAGATAGAACAGTGTTTCACACAAACCTACACTCTATTTGTGGCGGCACGTACCAATTTCTCAATTTTGAGATTCCAATTTTTTTTTCTCGAACACCTGGCATCCCCCGCGAAACGGTTCTCATTCTCGCTTGAATATGTATCACCCATAAGTGAACGTCATGATTCAGTTCATCTGGATGAGAAGACAAAAATGCCGAAGACCTCAGCTGTGTGGGAGCACTTTAAATTGAGTGAGGACAAGACAAAGGCAGTGTGCCAAATATGCGATTTGAAACTGGCCTACCACAACAACACATCAAGTTTGAAAAATCACCTGAGTTCTGCAAGTAGTTTTGATAATAATTTGTCTATAGGTACATCCCCAGTTATCGCAGCCATCAACATCAACATGCTCAACCACACCCAAAACTTCACAGCAGATCCTACAATCTGTCTAGCCAGCCTAACGTTACCTTGTTCTATTTAGCCTATTACAGTTTGTTTTATTCTATATAAGGGAATTCATTTAATTTTATTTAAACTGTTCGTTAATTAAAATGTGTGATGCTGTTATTGAAAGTATGCTACAGTGTTCTTTATTTAGTTCGTTGTACTTCGTTCATTTATTTTTCGTTCTTCTTTTATTTAAATAGCCTACCCTTTACGGTGTCAGTAATTACTGTGCTGCTAATTTCTGATTTGGGAGTGATTTGTTTGTTAGAAAAATGTTAGGCTACGCTGTTCTGTAGTTTATGAAAAGTTTATTAATTCTGAACATGTCGCGTGTCCATATTTCTGACATGTTGGTGTTATATCTTTCACTTGGATGTTATAAATTGTAAATACAGCTGGATAAAACAAAAAATGTGGCCGTCTTCATTTCAGGCTGCAAAGCAACAAAATGTGATTATTTTAAAGGGAGGTGATTTTTTTCTATATCCACTGTAGTGTGCATGTGAGGTGCCGGCACGATCAAAAAGCTGAAGCATAAAATACTCAGTCATTTTTGGTCATACAGTAAAGGCATAATTCCAAAGTGTTAGCAGCTGGTGGTAAAAATTTGGGACTTCTTAAACATGTCATTCCTACCTCATATGGTAAAAAACATGTTTTAGCTCTTTTGATTAATATGGACCATAAGGTATTATTAACATAGTATGTCAAAGCAGAAACTATCCTACATTTGGGGCTTTGTTTGGAAGAGAACATTAACTGAACTTTAACTTTAAACTGGCTTTACTCATTCAAGTTAATACCATTTAAATAATTCAGAATAAATCAGTGTCCTCTTCGAAATTAATGTTTAAAAATGTCACTGCTTGTGTTTAAGAATATGACATTCATTAAAATACAGCTTAAGCAGCACAGAATTGAACACAAGAAAGCAGAGAAGTTAGACTTACTCTGTATTTGGTGAAAACAAACTGCCAGTTTAATAACCATACAATAAAACCTGTAAATACCAATGAATTATACTAAAAAAAAAATGATTGTGAGGATCTCGTAGTAAAAAACGGAAAAGTTGAGGGCAAGACCCAACCGTATAGGGTGTGTGGGCTGCATTTCCTTCTTACTTATCTCAAAAGCATCTTGGTAAGCCTTCTGAGAGTTCTCAACCGTGGCTGAAAGAACAAAAAGTTGATATTGTGTTGATTACATTAAAAAAAAAGCCAAATATATAATTAATTTAATATATTTATGTCACCGATCGTCGGACAGATAGATAATAGTGATGCAGTGAAATTAACGTTTTACAGAAACCAAAAAGAAAGTTCTTATTTAATCAAAAACCAAAACTGAATATGAAGTTCCTTGAATTCACTTTGGGTAACTGAACTCATTATGCTGTTAAGGGTGTAAAGTTCTTCAGCAACAAGCCACTTCTCAATGTTTCAGCCGAACAAATTTTACATAGTGCTACTCTAGAATCATTTTTGGTCACACTGAAGTGTATCCAAACTGCTGACGTCTTCACCTGTTGTAGCTTTTCCACAGCATGTTAATGAAATAGATGCTAAAACAGTCAAAACGCACCTTTGGAGAAGATGATTTCAGTTCTCTAAAAGTATTACGCCGGAAACTTTTTTTTTTCTGTTTTGGCCAAATATTTTTAGTTTCCAAAATTTTGGTGTATCACTCATAGATGGATAGACAGATAGATAGATAGATAAATGACAGACAAACAGAGAGACGGATAGATAGAACAATATAATAATAGACAGAATGATAGACAAAGAACAACAGACATACGGATAGAACGACAGACAGATAGAACAGTGTTTCACACAAACCTACACTCTATTTGTGGCGGCACGTACCAATTTCTCAATTTTGAGATTCCAATTTTTTTTTCTCGAACACCTGGCATCCCCCGCGAAACGGTTCTCATTCTCGCTTGAATATGTATCACCCATAAGTGAACGTCATGATTCAGTTCATCTGGATGAGAAGACAAAAATGCCGAAGACCTCAGCTGTGTGGGAGCACTTTAAATTGAGTGAGGACAAGACAAAGGCAGTGTGCCAAATATGCGATTTGAAACTGGCCTACCACAACAACACATCAAGTTTGAAAAATCACCTGAGTTCTGCAAGTAGTTTTGATAATAATTTGTCTATAGGTACATCCCCAGTTATCGCAGCCATCAACATCAACATGCTCAACCACACCCAAAACTTCACAGCAGATCCTACAATCTGTCTAGCCAGCCTAACGTTACCTTGTTCTATTTAGCCTATTACAGTTTGTTTTATTCTATATAAGGGAATTCATTTAATTTTATTTAAACCGTTCGTTAATTAAAATGTGTGATGCTGTTATTGAAAGAATGCTACCGTGTTCTTCATTTATTACAGTTCGTAGAACTTCGTTCATTTATTTTTTGTTCTTTTATTTAAATAGCCTACCCTTTACGGTGTCAGTAATTACTGTGCTGCTAATTTCTGATTTGGGAGTGATTTGTTTGTTAGAAAAATGTTAGGCTACCTTATTAAAAGTATTGCTTTTAACAGACCTGTGTGTTTTGTATCACTAGTGCAGAATCCGTTCTTGGAACATATAAGCCCTGCCCGTGTGAGGCGCGCCGCTTCCGGCTCACGCTGTTCTGTAGTTTATTAAAAGTTTATTAATTCTGAACGTGTTTGGTCCATATTGCACCAAAATGTGACACTGCACTCCCTTGGGTCCGCAGCAACACACCCACCACGCGTGAAGTCGATTGGATGAACGGTTCTCGACATAAAAATGCAAACAGACAGACACACACACACAGAGATTCCTGCTCCTTTATTAGAGAGAAGAATATGTTCAGCCCCCTCCCTCCGAAGCTTCGAATATTCGGTGTTGGTTACTACCGAAGCCTCGAAGCTCAAAAAATTGTATTCGGACCAGCCCTAATTACAGTTGATATCAGTTAAGCCCATTTTAGGGTATCTGCAGGGTTTTTTAAATCAAATGTAAGGCTTTTTACAACCTTTGTAAAGACGTGCACAAATAAAATAAAATAAAATGTAACATTAAACCGTAATATGACTGTAAAAAAAACATATACGGGTTTATACAAAAACAAATTTTTATAAAATGTTCTTCAAAATTTTGTGTGTTTGCTGCTTAAAAATATGGGTCGATTTTTGCACTGGTCTTAACAAAAACAGCAGACGGGCTGATTGAAAATTCATTCTCTGCCAGTAGGTGGCGCTTATGGAAACGGCAGAAATATAGCGGTTTTCCCCAGTAACGGCAAAGTAGAACTGCACTTATAAACGCTACTTTATCAGGCATTATAAGTAGGTAAGATAAAATGAAAATGCCATCAATACTTTACTGAACACAGTCGGTTCCCTTCAGAGATACATTCAAATAAACACGCTGCATTTTGACTTGTACAGCGCTCATTTATTCAATGAAATCATAGCCTTTTGAAATTTAATCCAGCCATATCACGATTCCTGCATGAGTTTTGGACAAATTTGTGCAACTCTATTTGTGGCAGTCAATATTGATATTGTGGCAGGCCGCCACAAATAAATCAATGTATGGAAAACACTGAAACGACAGACGATAGAATGATAGATAGATAGATACAATGCACTTACTGGTCTTGGATTCTCCAGACGCGACCTCAGATAAGTATCTGAAGTAATCGCCTTTCATTTTCAGGTAAAACACCTTGCTCTCTGCCTGAGAAGCATTGGGAATGAGGAACTTCTCCAAAAGACCCTGTCAAGACAGGTAGGGACCATCAGGATTTTTGGTCAAACATAGTGAAATATGGAACAACATTTGACTCTTCCACTTTTAATACTGAAATTAAGCGTTCTTTGAAAACTGAACACTAAATATTTTGTATTTAACTTCAAGTGATGTCATCATTATAAAAGGTTCAGAAGATGAAGAGAAAGAAGTGCAGATACCAGCACATCATTGCAGATGTCCTGCAGTTCAGTCTCGATCTTTTCACGATACTCACGTGCCATCTGTTGCTTCTTCTCGTTCCCCTCTGTCTTCTGCTCGATGCTGGAGATCACACGCCAGGAGGAGCGACGGGCGCCCACCACGTTCTTGTACGCCACAGAGAGCAGGTTGCGCTCTTCATTGGAGAGCTCCACGCCGCCCTCGGTAACAGCCTTCATAGCGGCTGCCATGTCATCATAGCGCTCGGCCTGCTCGGCAAGCTTGGCTTTCTGCACCAGGTCACTCTTGTCCATTTTTAGACTGAGAATCAGATACGAGTAGTTATGAGCACAATAATTCACAGAAAACCACTAAATTTTACATTTTGAAAGCACAAGACAGAAACATGTAACACACTATTGGTATTAATGGTCAAAAAAATGATGATCTGCAGTAGTTACAGGGCTGCACTGACAATAGGAATTACTGTGTTTTTAATCATTTTGATAAACTGACATCAATTCTTCAATCCCAAGATCAGTATTTTATGGCGCTTTTCCACTGCGTGGTACGGCACGGTTCAGCTCGGCACGGTTTGCGTTTCCACTGCAGTTCAGTACCGCTTTAGAGTGGGCGGGATTATTCACATGTCGTTATAGTTGCGCCGCCTCTACTACCACGACTCCTAAAAAAAACTTTTTCATTCCACGTCGCCCCATCAAGCTCCTGCTGGATCCGCTCCTCTGCTATCAACGAGAGGAATGTCTGTTCTACCGCAACAGACAACAAAACTTTTTGGTTGTTAAAACAAGGTGCGCTCGTTCAAAACAGTTGCGTTCGATCCTTCGTTGGCTGTGCTGATTTAAATCTAGCGGTTCTTTTGTGTTTGTGTCGCAAGTTCAGTGACGCAGGTAGTGACGATTCTCTCCGGCCAATCCGTGATCAGCAGAGTTTACACGTCACGTTTTGGTAACGGTACGGTTCACTTGGAACCCCAACCGAGGTGGTACTAAAAAAAGTACCAGGTACTGTACCCAGTGGAAAACCCCCAAAAAGTGAACCGTACCGAGCCGTACCATGCAGTGGAAAAGCGCCATTAGTCTATTCCGTTTTCATTTGATGTGCAAAACTTCTCTAAATGATATTTGTAGCGTGCCTCCCATCCAATCATTTTAATAAGCTTGTGTTGTTACTTTGGATATGAAACTGTCTCAACTTTCAAATTTTGTAAATTTAAGCATGAAAATACTGAACATCAGAAAGTGTTGAAAGAAACAGTACAACTTACTGAAACGTATCATGTCTCATGTAATCGCTCAATCTGTGTTTCAACCACGGAAAGACATCAGTAAAGCAGCTTGTAAGCAATGTCATGTAAAGTTACATTTACACCTCAGAAAAGTCATTCAATGTCCATAAAGTCCATAGTTAGCTAGAAAAAGGAACTGTAGATATTTATTATATTTTTACTTAACCTGTTAGTGATGTCTTATTTAAAGGGGTCATATGATGCGATTTAAATTTTTCCTTTCTCTTTGGAGTGTTACAAGCTCTTGGTGCATAAAGAAGATCTGTAAAGTTGCAAAGACTAAAGTCTCAAATC